ACCCCCACCCACCAAAAAACAAAACAAACAAAAAACCGCAGACCACCACCACCATTTGAGCTTGCTTTCTTTCTCAAGCGTGCCTACCACCTGACTAAGCACAGACGGGCGAAGGAAGTCATTGCACCCAGGGCTGCTTGTGCATGCCTGTTTTTGGCTTACTGCTAGGAAACGAGTGTGCTTTCCTGCCCGACCAAGGGCTTCGCCGACTTGGGGAAGCTGGAGCCCAATGCAGAGCAGAGCAGTAACTCTCAAATGGGGCTTCCAAAGGTATCTTCAGGGGCCCCACAGAGGGGAAAGCTCATTCCCTGTGCAAGTTCATTTTTAAATCACTACAGTGGGACGCAAGCCTTCTGGTACACTGCAGTCAACCTACCTCTCTTGGGAATGCAAATCACCATTTCGTTATCTTGCTGTGACAAGCAGACCGTGGTGTCGGGAATCTCTGCTAGGATATCAATCAGCTCACAAACACCGTACTCGGTGACATCCCAGTCCTTCGAGAAACACCTAGGTTTGAAGCAGGAAGATGGACTAAGACTAGCGCTTGTCAGAGTAACTAGGGTCTTCCACAAAGCACGCTACAAGAAAAGTTGGGTAACTATTTAACATTTGGGGGAAGAAAAAATAAGCTAGATATTTATTTGCTTCCTTTGTTTTCCACTCACCAATGATAAGCCTGCGAGAATTCTCTCACAATGACCTGTTTGCTGGCTTGGGACTTGAGAAGCTTTAGTAAATCCTGAGTAAAGCGCTTCACTTGGGCCCTGTGGGTCAGCGTCAGCACCCGTTTGGACCCCATTCCAAGAATCTGCAAATCAAACACTTTGATCATTTCCACTGTGTAAGACCTCGAGAAATGCTGACTTCCTTACTGATGGCTCTCTCTTCTGTTACTACTCTCCAAGAACAACACCTTTTAAACACGGGGTGATAGGAGATACCCAAACAAAACCTCTCATGCCAGCAAGTCGATTCCAACTCACGGCAACCCTGCGGGACAGAGCACTGCTTTCTTCGGTTCCCAAAGCCAAATCTTTACAAAAGCAGACAGCCCCAACTTTCTCCGTGAGAGCGGCTGATGGATTTGTAACTGCTGACTTCACAGTGCGCACCCCACCCCTACCCACTGCACCACCAGGGCTCCTAAGATGCACACAGACCCACGGGGGCAAGATCCAGGAGGGCTGCAAAAGCAGAGACCTCTACTTGATCCTGTATGGTGGGCTACAGTACCAAAGTTTTTAATGGCTGGTGGTGGTGGTGGTGGGGTAACTTTTCCTGAAAGGGGGTGGCAAGCCAAATCAGTTTGGGAACCTATGATACAGATCAACCAAACAGAGATGGGTAAAGTGAACAACTGCTCGAGTGCCCCCGGTGCTTTTCTGCTCTGCACACCCTTTCCCAAACAGTCATGAGTACAAACTGAGGATCGTGACCCTCAAGGTCAGACTGAGAGTGAACAGTTGGAGCAGACTGTGCTGGGGACCATCAGTCCACCGAGGGGGAAGGAAAACACTCCTCAGAGTGGAGAAGAGATTCTTCTCACTTGGAAACTTAGATTGAGAAGCCATCCTGTCTATGTTTCCTGTACTCTGAAGAAAGGGTTTATTTACAAGAGGTTTTGTTCTGAATTGATTTTTTGTTCAGGAGTTAGGTTACTAGCTAGCTTGTTTCTTTGTCAAGAGCAGTTGAAGCCAAAGAGAAACACACTTGTTTTTCAAGAACCGATGACCATCCCTTACCTGCAACACGTGAGGCACTGCTTCTAGTAACTCAATCAACTTGGAGTAGCCATAGTCCGATACTCGGCACTGCTTTGCAAAGTGATGGTGGTAGGATGGGATGAAGTTACTGACTGGTGTGACGCAGGATGGCTGATTCTTCAGTAAGTCAACCACTTCCCTACTGAACTGGATCAGCTGGGGATTCCCCACAGGACTTTTGGAACGCAGAAGCCAAGGGTCTGGGTACGTGATGGAGGGAAAGGATGTAAGTAAGACACAGGCCTGATGTCACCAGATGAGATACGGGAAAGTAACGTCTCAGCCCCACCATCAGCAGCAAGCAGGTGGAGCTAAATCGTAGCTTTCCTTCTCAACCTCTGCCCCCCGCCCCGCCTTGCTTCCCTCAGAGGACAAGGAGGCTCGGGAAGACTAGACACCAGAGACCTACCTGCATTTGGAGGCGGGGGCTTGTTGTGAATCCATTTAACTACTTTGACACCATTCTGTGCTGTGGCAATGTTCACTCCGGGGACGGAGGCGATGAGGTGCTCTAAAGGCACGCCCCCGTGGGTTTCCTGCACCACTCTGAGCTCGCCAAACTCTGCGGCAAAGCAATCTGGAAAGCTGAGGTGTGGAGGAGCTTTGTGAGAACCATGAAAGGCAAAGGGCCTTCTGAGCAGGAGCCTTCTTTCATGGGACCTACTTTTAAGCCTTTAGTTAGGGTGTGAGTGTCCATTAAATAAGTCGTTGAAATGCCCACGATCTGGGTTTGATTGTTAAAATCGTGGCCCCTGGGAAGCAAGCACTATGATGTTTACTTCTCTGCTGCAGGTGACGGCACTAGAAATTATCAGAGAATTGGCTGACCTAAGCCAAAAATCAAATCCACTGCCAACGAGTTGAGCCCTGGTGGTGTAGAGCGCTACGTGATGGGCTGCTAACCAGAAGACCAGCAGTTCAAAAGCACCAGCTGCTCCCCAAGAGAGGATGAGGTCATCGATTCTCGTGCTGATTTAGAACCCATGGGGCAGTTCGACCGTGTCCCACAGGGTCGCTGTGAACTGGAATCAATTCGAGAGCAGTGAGTTTGGCCGCTGAATCAATTTCATCTAACAGCAACTCCACGGGACAGAGCACTGTTCCCTAGGGATTCTGAGACTGTCAATCTTTACAGGAGCAGACAGTCTCATTTTTCCCCATCAGGTGGCTGGTGGCCTGGAACCACTGGTTAGCAGCCTGATGCTTTATTCCCTGTGCCACCAGTTATTAGTTACTGTTCAGGGTTGCTGAGTTGGTTCCGACTCACAGCGCCCTATGTCCAACAGAATGAAACCCTTCCTGGAACGTGAGGAGACAGATGAAAACAAAGCTCTTGGGTTCCAAGTCAGTTACTCATCTGCTTTACTGTCTCACTGGCAGGAAGGCAACTCAGCCTATGCCAGCCTTTATACTCCGTCTACTTCGTGACAAGTATTACCGCTTCCTCACGACATGGAGTTTTAAGTGATAATTTCTTCTTAATCTGAAAATTTATGAGCTAAAGCATCTGAGGCTGTGCGCCTCTCCTGGCACACGTCTCTGATAGCATTTACAGTACATCTCTTCTATGGCAGCACTTATAGTACATCTCTTCCTTGTGGAGAAGCAGCTGTCCTATCCATGCTTAGATTTCTAGAATTGTGCACAAACTCAAACTTTCTGGTTGTGGTGCTGTGGAACTGGTTCACTCTCAGATGCACTTCTAATTACCTGCATCGCTACAAACAGTAGGACGCAGCCCTTTCCAACAGTGACTTGTGGGGAAGTTTGGGCAAAGAGGGCAGGCGCCTGTGAGAAGGAAAGGCGGGCTCTAGACTGACAAGGTGTTTCACACTCACCTCAATAAGGGCACAGTGCCCTCATGTGTCTGGAGAAGACTATGAACTTGGGGTGCAAATGTCTTCAAAGAGAGAATCACAAAAGGAATCTTGTAAGTGTCTGGATCGAATTCATGTTCACTGCAGAACAAAATGTTGAGTTGTCATTATTCCAGCGTCTCAAAACGTCTGCAAATGCATTCTACAAAGAATTCTTCTGCAGAAGGATTTTCTGGGAGAGAGAGGGCAGCGTACCTGAACTGCTTATCGGAGCAGTGCTGTCGACAGACAGGCTCGTGATATTCTAGCTCTTCGAATATAATGGGGCTGCAATTCGATGAGGAGCCGTCATGTGACTGGGAAGAGCCTAAGGGGCTCTGTCGGGCTTGGCTGCTGGGTAAGAGACACACAAGCCTTCCAATTCCTTGTTCCCGGATTGCTACGGTGTCCGTTAATTTATACAGATCTGACACATTCAACCTGTGTCCAAACCTACAGCAAGGAAGGGGGAAAAAAAGGACGTGTTGACTGGGAAGACGACAGATACAGAATCTTTCCTGTTTAAGAAAAAGAAAGGCTGCAGTCCAGTCAACTGGACACATTTCTGTGATCCCCTTATCCCAAGAGTGGGTCCTCTGTCCCTTCAAAAGTCAAACGGGAATACTTCTACTATAAAGCCATCGCGATCCAACCAATGATGGCTAGCCCTCCTTTGCAGCCATCCCTGGGCTTCACCTAACCCACTGTCCAAAGCCCCAGTGGATCCTGTCTCCCAGTTTTCCACTACTCATTCAGCCCTGCTCCCCTGTACTTACAATTATCTCAGTATTCTCTCTCAAAATCTCTGTTCTACTACCTGGGAAGGGGTGTCCCTCTTCTCTCCAACTTCTCGGCCTCAGCTTCATGAGGAAAGGTCCTCTCTGCCTGACTTCTCTACCACCCCCCGGGCTGTCATGCCATGGTGCTCAAAGGCACAGATTATGGAGGGAGAGACTTAAGTTCACACACTGACTCAACCTCAACACAAATTCACCTGCAAACGGTATGGCCTTAATTTACGTAACCTCTCTGGGCTTCAGTTTATGCATCTATAACATGGAAATGAAGACAATCCCCAGCTTACAAGGGGAAAGCAAGGATAGAACTAGCACAGGATTTAACATAGTATTTCCTTCTCAGGCCCGTACACACATCAGATATCTCCTCTGACCTTATCTCCGGTACCCCCCTGCCCCCCCTCCACTTACACTCATGCCCTCAGTCCTGTACTCTCTTTATCTTCTCAAAAATACAAAGGGCTCGTCCCTCAGGAGGGGCCTCTGCTCTTTGACCACCTTTTCTTCCTGATTTCGCGCATACTACCGTGGAGAGATGGGGCCAAAGTGACTAGTGGCCTCTTCATCGCCAAACTTCATACCATTGTCCTCGGTCCCCTCAATGCTGAGGCCAGTCCCTCCATTCCTGATGGCTCTCTTTCCCACATGCCTTAGTTATAAAACACTTACCTCTGGATTCTTGCTTGGTTCCCTGTCTCCTGACCCGCCCTTCTGTTTTTCCTCTCTCCTTTGATTTTATCTGCAAATAACTGCTATGTCTTCAGAGGTGACTTACCTCCTGCAGGAGTGTCCAATGTGCAGAAGACTACTTGAATTCTCTGCTCAGATACTCCAATGGCCCCTAACAACTCACCTGCCCCAAATCAAGATCAAACACCCTTTGAACCTCCGCAACATACTTCTTCGCCACTCTCCTCTCCCCACCCCCCAATTTCTGTTAAACAACCAACCATTCTCCTAGTTGTGCAGGACAAATGGGATCAAACCGATCACCACTTCCACCACATAACAACAATGACCAAGGCCTGTCTTAGGGCCCTTGGGCTATTACTTGTGCCTGTGTCCTCCTGTTCCCACAGGACCTGCAGAACCTAGCCGCTGCAGCAGTCTCCCTCCTCCCTCCTGTCTGTCCCAAGTCTTCATGCAGTGAGGTGATAAAGGCCATCATGTCTCTCGCCCCCTCCCCAATACTTCAGTGGTTCCCCATTTACAACAGAATTGAACAATCACCACGCTCCCAGTTCTTTCATTCTTCTGTATCAGAGTATCTCCTCCGCCTCACCCCCTCGCTCAGTGGCAGCACTCTTCATTTATATTATCATTTTGAAAGTTTCTTCTTCCCTCGCAGACAGTGAGCTCCTCAAGGTCAGGGCTGCCTTGCCTAGCTTTGCGTTCTCCACAGTGCCACTGCCTCCGTCTCTCATCCCACCAATGCATGCTGAGTCCCTACTGTGGGACAGACCACGTGCCAAGTACTACAGGGACTGGCATAAGGCCATACCCAGTCCCTGTCACCTCTGAGCTAACAGTTACCAGGCACTTGAAAATGTTAACTCGACAAATAATATAAGTAAACAATCAACTGGAAAAAATAAAAGTATGGCACTGGAGACTAAAAGTTGTAAAAAATGAAAGCGTTTCTAAGTCTTATTGGAACAGAAGTTTGGATTTGACTACCCAGTGATGCTGTCTCACTCCTTGACCAAGCTGCCCTGCAGAGTTAGTATCGCAGTGTTGTGCACCAACTAAATACTGACTATACTGTGCAAAAGAAAATATAGAGATATACCCTTAACTTACTTTTTCTCATAGATGTCTGTAAATTTGAAAAGAGGCAGACAGCAGGCGGGAGCATCCTGGAGAACAGATACGGCCTCAGCACTGCAAGACACAATGTGCAGTGAGTGCCAGGCTTCTCACCACAGTAGAGGAGACTTTAAAAACACAGCTCATGAAAGTGGCGATCACAATGTGTATGCAAAATAAATGTACCCATTTCTGTATGTCATAAGTTTATTTTCCAGGAATTAAAAGAGATGCCACCGAAAGGAAAGTATATTAAAGAAAATCAAGTCACTCACTGTGACCTTTCAGACGCAAATCTTCCCACACCTGTGTATCAGAAATCAGATTCCAGGCCCAAGGCGAACAGTTTGAATGTCTCCTGTCATGTTCATATACTACATGATTTCAACTATGGCTTGAAAAAGCAAAAAACCACACAGGGTGGGGAGTGGGAAGAATCTTGCCAAACCCTGCCACCGGATATGGCTAGTTTTCCAGCATCTTTCCAGATTTTCTTCTATATTATTTTTAATATAAGGGGGGGGTGACACCATATTTTTTTCAGTTTTAATTTAGAGAAGAAATCCTAAAGCATTAATAGTGAGCTGCAAGTCAGAGCCACATTCCTTGGGCATTGAAGAGTCTTGTTTTCTTAGTTCTCAAAACACAGAGAGGCGAAGAATAGTCAAAGAGTATTATGAAATAAAATCATCACCAGACTCAAGACTGACGCAGTCACAATGCAGGCTTACGGGGCACGTGTCTGTGGGACATTACAAATAAAAACACAAGGGGAGAGCTTGGCGCTCTGTAGATAGAATATACCATTTTATAACAGCTCTACCTTCTATGGTGATTTGAAGATAATGTAGTAGACTATTCAGATGTATACAACTTCACTATAGAACCTGCTCGAGATACATGGTATATCATTTTATTGCTCAGTGCACCAGCTTAATGTCAAACAGCTGATTTTCAATACTATTATTGAGAGACTAGGTATTAATGTGTATGAAATTATTACATGAGGGATAGGAACAAGATAAAATTTGTTCTTAATAATAAAATTTCCACAATCGTTTCTGGGTCAAAATGTTATTTCCCAAGATAAATGGCTTAAAGTGTTTAGAAAATTGTTCGTTCTTTTTTACCTCAGTAAAGAGAGTGATTTATTAGTAGTTCTTGTGGCAAGTGACACCAGGATCTTTTTGCTGCCAATTTTGTATCTGTGCAGGCTATTTACCGCGCTGATGGCTTCCTGTAAGGTTTCCATCTGGACAACAGCCTTGAGCTGATAATCTGTATGGGGGCTGAGCTCAACACTTTTCACCTGTAGCAGAAACAAAGAAATTGGAGAAACCATGTCATCCCATAACCTTGCCATCTCAAAACGCAGGTGCGATCAGTAAGGAACACAATGGAGAACTTCTGTCTTCTGTGGAAGAACCTGTCTGAATCCTGCTGACCAAAACTCAAGTGGGCTAGGACTGTAACCTTCAGGGAAGGGACACTGGCCGGAGCTGCCTGGGACCTCTAGCACACTCGGCTCTCCCAGCAGATTGACAGGCTAACAGCGAGTGAGGGGCTTTTAGGGTCTTTACCAGACCCTGCTGAAACCCAGGGCACAGTATTTAAAATTTTTGTTAAAGCCAAGTTTTAGCAATCTACACCCAAAAACTCAATTAGATACGATAAGCAAAGCAGTCAATATTATTTTAGAATTCTATTCCTGTATTTTAGCAGCCAGAACTAACTAGAATCTATCAGTGTTTTATATCCTAAAGTGACACTTCCATTCTTGCCCAAGAGTGCTAGCACTTCTTATTCCTGTGTCTTGTTCTCTAGGGCTCTGCCACCAAAACTGGATCTTTAGGAGCACTTCACGCGGCTCAGAGGAAGGGATCGCTGAACCATATTTAACACCTGACACTTACATTCGGTCAGGTGCCCTGGTGATGCAGTGGCTAAATTCTGATGCCAACGAAAAGATTGGTGGTTCAAATTCACCTGCCACTCCTCAGGAGCAAAATGTGGGAGCCTGATTCCATAAAGATATCAGTCATGGAAATGCAATGTAGCAAAACTATTATAGAGTCGAGATGAGGCAGAAACAATACAATGAAAACCTAGCTGTAGAGTGGAACACATGCTGGCCCACCAAGCTCTGAGGATGATATTCTCGCTCAGAGCAGTCAAAGCACAGAGAGGACCATACGGCTGGCCCCACTACGAGACATGACGCCCCTCACTGACCCATAGCGCTACAGAGACAACACTGGAGACACAGTGCGGGAATTGCGCCCCATCTGATCCCACCACACTGAGGCGAAACACTAAGGGTGTGCAACAGAGCAGCAATGGGAACAGAGCAACCAAGTCCCAGGGAATACCAAAATAGACTGTGGGGCCAGGGTGTGGCACCCCATCAGACTCAACCGGAGTTCAACAAACAGACCTTGAACTATTTACAGGCTTTTCTTTGTCATTGGTTTTGTTGTTGTTGTTGTTTTGTTTTGCTCTACCTTGTTTTTTGTGCATATTATTATCTCTGCAGGTCTATCTAGATAAGATGATCAGGACAAACAATCTGGAGGAGAAAACAATGGGACTGACGGTTCCAGGGGGAGATGGGAGAGGGGGAGGTGGGGGAAAGGAAGTGGGTGTCAACAACCCCAGGGACCAGGGAAAAACAAATGAACCATAATTGATGGCGAGGAGGGTGTAGGAAACCTGGTCGGGCTTGATCAAGGGCAATGTAATCGAGAGGAGTTACTGAAACCCAAATGAAGGCTAAACATGATCGTGGGACAAGAGTAAACTAAAAGGAAATAGAAGAAGGAACTAGGAGGCAAAGGGCATTTATAGAGGTGTAAATACAGGCATGTACAAATGTAAATATATTTATATATGATGATGGGGAACTAGATCTATGTGCATATATTTATAGGTTTAGTATTATGGTAGCAGATGGATGGACATTGGGCCTCTACTCAAGTACTCCCCTCAATGCAAGAACACTTTGTTCTATTAAACGGGCATTCCGTGATGCTCACCTTCCCGACATGATCTCTGACGACAAAGCGGTGCATAAGCAAACATCGTGAAGAAAGCTGATGATGCCTGGCTATCAAAAGATATAGCACCTGGGGTCTTAAGGGCTTGAAAATAAGCAAGCTCCCATTTAGCTGAGAAGCAACAAAGCCCACATGGAAGATGAACACCAGCCTGTGTGATCACGAGGTATCGATGGGATCAGTTATCAGACATCAAAGAACAAAAAAATCCTGGAATGGAGACCCCAAGCCCAACTGTAGGCAACTGGACGTCTCCTTACATAAGGGTTGCGGGGAGGAGATGAGCCAGTCAGGGTGCAGGATAGCAATGATGAAACATACAACTTTCTTCTAGTTCTTTAATGCTTCCTCCCTGCCTACTATCATGACCCCAATTCTACATTACAAATCCAGCTACACCAGAGGATGTACACTGGTACAGATAAGAACTCTCGACACACAGAATCGAGGACAGACAAACCCCTCAGGACCAATAATGAGAGTAGAGATACCAGGAGGGGAAGGAGAAGGTTGGGTAGAAAGGGGAAACCAATCACAATGATCTACATATAACCCCCTCCCTGGGGGATGGGCAACAGAAAAGTGGGTGAAAGGAGGCATCGGACAGTGTAAAACATGAAAAATAGTAATAATTTATTAATTATCAAGGGTTCATGATGGAGGGAGGGGAAAAATTAGGAGCTGATACCAAGGGCTCAAGTAGAAAGAAAATGTTTTGAGAATGATGATGGCAACAAATGTACAAATATGCTTGATACAATGGATGTATATATGGATTGTGGTAAGAGTTGTAAGAGCCACCCCAAAAAATGATTTAAAAAAGAAAAATTAAAAGTTGTACGAGCACCCAATAAAACGATTTTTAAAAAAAGAAAGAAAACCTAGCTGTAGTCATGCATAGCACATTTCATGGTCTGTATCTGATATTCCTTCAACGGGCAGAACAAAAGCAAGAACAGAGTGAGCAGATTACCTTGCCGTGCCTGGAGAAGGCGTCCTGCACGAGCTGCTGCAGCTCTTTCCGGGAGAGCCTGTAGTCTATGTTGCTGATCTGGACATCAGCACCGTTCGCAAATGGGGCAGGGCAATCTGCACTACTGCTGGAACTTGCAACATTGAGAGGGAGTGGGGACGCTCTGTTGGAAAGGCTTGGAGACATACTCCTGTTTAATAGACAGATTGAGATTATTTTTCACAAACTTCTCATTCAATTTATTGGTTATATCATTTAGACTGGATTTGAATCTCTAGAGAAGTTTCTACAACACAGCATATTCAGTTTTCAAATGTTTTTATCTTAAATATATACCAATGTACACTGTGATATCTACTGTCTGTTGACTTATTTTCAACCCGTAAATAATTTAGTATCAGATATTCTTTCATTGAATTATTTAAAGCTAACGGCAGAAATTATAGGCAAGATTGCTTAACCAAAATATTTTTTTAAATATTTTCATTTTATCTATCTTTTTTCTTTTACTTTTTTGTGGGTTTGAGGGGAGGTTAGGGAACATACTGATTTTCCATTCAAAAATTCACACCTATTGTGTTTTGCGACATTGATTACAGTCCCTATAAAGTAAAAAGCCCTTCCCATCTATTCCCTGTGCTTCGTTTCCATTCTTTCCCCTATCATGCCTATCTCCTGAGCTTTATCCCTTTGGATCTTCTAGGGGTGACTGTTCTAAGCAGTGCGTGCCCCAATGTTAACTCTTCCCCTGAGAAGCTTGCCTATCATTTGGCTGAGAGCTGAGTCACAGGGCTGAGTTCAACTCCAGGCCTGAAGGAAATAAGCTTTTCATCCCCTCCCTTCTGGCTTTGAATGACTAGATAATCTTGCCCTTCTATTAACGTTATGTGAATTTTTATATGGAATTTCACATGTCCCGAGTCACCTGCTAGAGTGATTCTTTACTAACACAACAAAAGAACATAATACTGGAAGGGGCTCATGGGAACATAGCATGGCCTGTGACCCCACTATCTTCTCAGCTTTATAAGAATTACTTAGTACAGTGGTTCTCAACCTTCCTATTGCTGTGACCCTTTAAAACAGTTCCTCATGTTGTGGTGATCCCCAACCATAAAATTATTTTTGTTACTACCTCATAACTAATTTTGCTACTGTTGTGAATTGTAATGTAAACATTTGATATGCAGGATATATTTTCATTGTTATACATTGAACATAATTAAACATAGTTAATGCATAGGGATCAATCAGAAAACATTATGTAATTACATATTGTGAAATATTTGTTTTCCAATGGTCTTAGGTGAGCCCTGTGAAAAGGTCATTTGACCTTCAAAGGGGTTGCGGCCCACAGGTTGAGAACCGATGACTTAGTACAAGTTTAGAAAGCTTAGATTGTGTTACATAGTTACGTGATTTTCAGAAGCCTGGCTTCCCAAACCACTTCCTATAATTACCCCATTAGGAAGAATAACCAATATATGTCGTCTGTGCTTCTTCCTCAACATAGGAAACAGGCGACGATAAGGACAGGTAGGAGCCTCCTGGCATTAGCCAAGAAGCGCTCTCCGCATCCCAAACTTTCTATGTGGAAGAGGCAGTCATGACCCCAAGTGTTATAATCAGAGCAAAGGGGCACATGGAGAAGGATGGAGAACTCATCTTTATGTGGTGTACTCCTCTAGGGCTTGGATTATTTTAAACAACGAATCCTCTCTTGGGGCACACAATCATGCTAGGGAGTGAGAGGCTGGCCTACCTCGAAGACCAAGTCTGAGATGTGAGCAGGGGTCCGATTTGCCGCGAGACGATCAACTTGCTAAAAGCTGATGGGTAACTAACTTGGAACATAGTCTCCTCTTTCTCTTTCCTCTCTATGGGAGAGCTGGTACCACTCCGGGAGCTGAGGTTCTCTTTTCTGAAACAGGGGAAGATCCAGGGGAAAAGATAATTTGCTTTGCTTGAAATTAAATCAGCAACTGTGTGTGTGTGTGTGTGTGTGTGTGTGTGTGAGACTCGACGTACTTGTGATTGCCCTTGTAACTGGACTCTGCGCTCCCCGAGTTTTTGGCTGGGAGCACTGCTGCAGTTGCAGTACTGTGAGCAGGGGCGGCCGGTTTTGTGTTCCCTGGCTGAGGCTCACTGCTTCTACTACCAGCCTTGGGCTCTATTCGGCACAGCTCCTGTAGAGACAAGTGCAGTGGAGTTTGAAAGTGTTAGAACTCACAAAGTGTTAACACCTGAACATAAAACAGTCAACCTTGAGGAGTATTCAAAACTCAAATGAGCAAAGAATACTCTGAAGGCAAGTGAGCACATAAGACAGAGAGACAAAGAAACCCAGCCTCCCGAAAATGTCAGAAAGTCCCAGGGATCAGAATTACCTGTAAACTCTTAACATTTGCACTTTTCCCAGCAGAACCAAGGTTTGCCTGCCCTCCTTTCCCAGGAGTAGCTTTGGCTCCGGGAGGTTGTTCGCTTGTGTCTTTGATGAGGCACAATTTGAGATTCTTGAATTTTTTGGGAGACTTCACTTTGTCAGCAGTTGCACTTGAACTCTTTATTTCACAGATCTCTCTGGTTTTTGGAGTGAATGACACAATGATCCTATTGCCAAAGACATCTTCATTTTCCATTCGTTTCTGAGCCCGCTCGGCGCTATCCTGGTTAATGAAGCGGAGAATTGCACTGCAGCCTGTGATACTCAGCACTTTCCCGCCACAATTATCAGACAGGCGCCTGAGCCTGTTGCTGATGCTCTTGCCATCCTTATTTGCTGGTAGGTTATAAACATAGAGTAGTGTGTGGCACTGCTAATAGAGCAGGAAAAAGTACATTACATCAGGTTCATTCAAGGCACACACTCAGTTACATATAAGAACCAGTAAGCCTTATGTGTACACCTGGGAGGAGAGGAGAGAATGACCTATCAGACGGAGGAAGGTACTCTTTTTTCAGTGCTAACAAGGGAACTGAGTGCTGTCTGTAAAAGATGTGCTAGGCACAGAAGTTCACATACTGCATGAGCCCTATTTGTTGGAAACATGTAGAAATGGAGACAAGATGAGTGATTGTGAGGAGGTTGGCACCAGGGATCTGAATGAAGTGACGAAAATTCTTGAAGAATGGTAGTATAACCTGGTCAGTTACTAAAAATGAGTGAAGGGCACACTTAAAATCAGTGCAATTGGTGTTATGACAATTAGCGTTTAAAGAGTCTCATTTAGCAGGGCTGTTCAAACTCGGTAAAGTCAGGGCCTCTCCAAGTAACGACGTCGTCGGTGGGGCTGAGACTGATGTCTTCCAGAAGGAAACTTGAAGGCAATTTTGGAGAGGTTGATATCCAGAAGCCACAGAAGAAATCATGGGAAAATGGACAAGGGGTATATTTATCTATTCATCTATATAAACCATCCGCTAATAAAAGGGCCTCTTACAACTCTGCTAATGATTAGTAAGCAGACACCACATTGCCACTATCAGACTACTTAATGTTTAAAACTGACGAGAAACTCTCTTACTGTTGGTAAGAATATAAATTAGCACACTCTCCCTGGAGAGCAACATGGATCTAGCCAGCAACATGGATCAACAAAGTCGGATCCCAAACTTGCCCCTCATGGCACTTATCCTGCAGACTGTTATTAGCCCAGAAGTTTGAAAATGACAAAAGTTGGATGATGCTTCCTTAGATAATTGGGAACATAAATATCCTATGATCTAGCAATCATGCTGCTTGGCATGTGCCTTATGGAAGTAAAGAACATAGAATAAAAAATACATGCACATTCATGTTCATCACAGCACTGTTCACAAGAGCAAGAAGATGGAACTAAATTCCATCAGTGGAAGAACGGAGAAACAGACTTAGAGGCATCCACACAATGGTACACCATTAACGTAACGATGAATCTGAGAAAAACCAGATGACATGGATGGATTTGGAAAACATGCTGAGTGAAGTTACACAAAAGGGCAAACACTATAGGAGACAACTGTTATTAAAAGGAAAAAAAAATCAAGAAAAGGTTTTCATAACAAGAAAAACAAAATTTGAGTCACCAGGGATAGGAGGGGAAGGGGAAGCAACTGGTTAGAGGGTAGACAGGTATTACTACCTTGGGTGCAGGGAAGATAAGATACTGTAAGAGGGAGACGGGGCGAGGTGGAGCAGGGACAAACCGGGAAAGGCATAGGGAGGTCTGTGCTGCTGAACACAGTACCGATAATCTGATACATAAACACCCACCTCCTTCACAGGAACACATTCGGCCAAAAAAAAAAAAAGACCCGAGTTATCGTGTTGGAGATGTTTAAAAATTAGGTACGAACAAAATATACAGTAATAGTTAGTATAATGGTTACAGTGGGTGGGCTGCATATAGTATGTTTTTCTTTTTATGTTATATTCCACAAATAAAAGGGGAAATATAATAATGGATAAAATTTTAAAATAAATAAAATGTGAATATATGTATGAATTGCTGAATGGAAGACTGGTGATCTGCTCTGTGAACCTTCACCTAATTAAAGATAAAAAGTTTTATAAAAATTAAAGAGACAAACTAAAGTGCACGAAAGAAAAGACATGTTTTTAAAGTATTAATCTAGTAAGAAAAAATATCTGGAAAGAGAATTTCCAAATAATCAGATCTTTTCTTTCTTCCCCCCTATATGCAAGAAGCATCTCAGAAATGGGCACATTCTCAGGATCGATTCAAAGGCCTTTGAGGTTAGAAGAGTCCAAACAGAAGCAGCAGGGAGGAAAGGCAGGAGGAAGCCAGCACATTAAAACAACAAAGGTGAATTAAGAGGTTAGAAAGGCTGAGGTAAGGCCTGAATAAGCTACTTCTTGGTCAAGACTCTGGTGTCCCCACCTGAGACTGTTTTTGGCCATGTTGCCTGAACTTTTTTCAACCTGGGTATTAGCTAGCAAGGGAAGTGCTGGAGGAGACCTGGGGCCTAGTCTTTGCTCTGCTGTATCAGCTATATAACCCTTGACTTGTTTGCTTTCTTTCAGCACTGACATCGTCTTCCTCCTTAAAATGAAGACACCATCGAGTCAGAACATTTCCAGTACACCTGTAACTCTAAAGTTACAGTTACATTCTCCAAACAGCTGAAACAGAGCTTGGGGTGGCTTTCTATTCCTGTAAGAGTGAGATCGAGGAAACTCACAGGGGGAGGTCTACCTTGTCCTGTAGGGCTGCTGTGAGTCGGCTTTGACAATGATGGCAGTGGGTGTGGTTTTGGTTATAGCAATAACCACTCTTCAGTGTGCACGTACACATGACAGGACGTGTGAACATAGAAAACATCTGCTTATACCAAGGGCTCAAGTAGAAAGAAAATGTTTTGAGAACGATGATGGCAACAAATGTACAGATGTGCTTGACACAATGGATGTATGTATGGATTGTGATAGAGTTGTACAAGCCCCGAATAAAATGATTTAAAAAAAAAGGAAACATCTGCTTAAAGAGTAAATACCTAAAAAGTATACAGTGTATCTGTTTATTTTACTACAATTACACAAGTTATACAAATTGTCACTATATACTTCATTCATAATTCTTGGGAGCAACAGAGTAACTTTTATTCCATTATTCCCATTTACTTGACACCAAACACTTGCTAGCTCGGGGGATACTGGCATTAACCAAAATCAAACCAAACTCATTGCCACTGAGTGGATCTCCATTCACTGCAGCCCTGCAGGGCAGGTGGACTCGGCGGCTTTCTGAGGCTGTCTACCTTTACGGGAGCAGACAGTCTCATTTTCCCCCCATGCGATGGCTGGTGGGTTCAACCTGCTAAAACCCTGCAGCTCCTAAGTGACCACTGGTGAGGTGGATCCAAACATCAATTCCCTACGCTATTCTGAGGGGCAAAAGAAAAGCAAAACTCACGTAGGAGGGGATTTCAAAGAGTTCATGAAAAAAATTCCACTATCTTTCAATTCCATTTTCCCACAAACTCTTGGAAGCCCCTTCGTATATCAATTCTTTATATATTTTACAAGAGAAGAACTGAAGGTTTATAAGCCGAATTTCAAGATTCAGTGCACCTTCTACAGAGAATGGCCTCACTGGAGTTTGGAAACCTCCACGGTAAGGCTTGTTGTGCAGTGTCCGAAACTCACATTGGAATATAGCAAACATAATGCAAATCAACTTACTGGCATTTTTAGTGGTAACCTGGGGGGCAGGTCGGAAATGAACTCTTCAAATCGGATCAGCTCGTTAGCGTGATGCAGCAGTGCTTCTGAGGCCTGATTTTTATGAACCAAAATTATGTGGAAACCATGCCTGTGTCTCAGGTCACTAAGTTCCAATGCAAAATTGACATCAGCTGAAAGAAAGGGTACAGCCCACCCGTCCCTGACATTAAACATCAGCTGAAAGAAAGGGTACAGCCCACCCGTCCCTGACATTAACATCAGCTGAAAGAAAAGGAGTAGCCAACTCCCATCCCCAAACATTAGGAACATCTGACAGAGGCAGGCAACACTAGTAAACTCACTGAAGGCTGTCTCAATTGGGAAACAGCGCACACTTGCTTCCTAAGCCCCAAGCTGCATTTCCCAGAATTACTGCAGCGAAGAGACATACCAAGATATGTTATTTCCAATCTTAAAAAAAGGTTTGTTGTTTTGTTGTTGTTCGTGGGGGTCCTTAGATTTGGAAACTATTTATCTTAGGCTTTTTGTTGTTTTGTTTTGTTTTTTAATTACTAATACTGGGCCAGAAGTTAAAAACAAAACATGATTTTCTCTAATAAACCTGTCCCCATGAAAGTCCTTACTCAAGTTCTAGGGAGGAAATACAGAAATCCACATAGACTTAGTTTTCACTCAAAAAGAGTTCTCGAACATAAGCATAGTATATCCTATGTAGTGAGACTCCGTGGAGTAGATTCTACTCGAATGTGTTCTGGGCTTCTATGACCATTTCCGCACAGTGAAATCTGATTTACGAGCAGGTGTGTCCATACTTACTTGACACAAGAACCACAGTAGCGGGAGCAGTGTGTGTGTTTGCAAACCTTCGGAGGCTCTGTCGGAGTTTGTCGTCAGCAGCATTCTTTGCAGTGGCGTTGATGTGGGCCACAGTTACCTGCCCTCACCCACAGTAAGGGAGACAGAGCAAGAACTGAGGTCAGAAAACAGTAACACATTCTGTCCACATTTTAACAGTTCATTTTTAGATAGATAACCTAACAATAATCTAACAGAAACTATTGTATTCTGTCAGTTAGGAATGGAACAAAATTATCATCAGATCTCAATAAAATCAAAGTGGTTCTTTGTATTAACTGGGTCCCTTATTGTCCTGACTGTCATTCCCAAATTTCTGCTTTTGCGCTTGACAAAGTACCATCACCCTTCGGGAAGATAGGTAGAGAAAGGGAAGTGAATTTTGAAGTAGTTGACTATGTTCTCAGTAATAGTTTTTGTTAACAATGTGAAGGCAGTGGAGATCTGACATGTGAGGTAATATTTGATATATCATCTTATGTTCTTTTTCTTAAGCTATAAAAGTTCTCAAACTTATTTGGCCTATTGCTTCCTTTTCAGAAAAATATTACTTAGTGCCCCTTTAGCAATGAGAAGCTTTTGTACTATAGCTTATAATCCAGAATAAAGTATAGGTATCTGCTTTTACAGTCAGCCCCGCTTCTGCTTTCATCATTCCAGTGACCCTCCAGGGGGCATTATCACCCACTCGGGGAAGCACTGTAGTATAGCTTAGCTTTCATGATCGGGGGTAGGTGCTGGCAAGAAGGGTGTCTGCCCCTAAAGAAGCTAAAATAGCAATTCCCCGCCAAACCAAACCCACTGCCAAGGCATTGATTCCGATTCAACAGTGACCCTATAGGACAGAGCGGAATTGCCACGCGGGGTTTAAGGCGGTAAGCCTTTAGGGAAGCAGACTGCCATATTTTTCCCTCAAGGAACTGATGAGTTGAAACGGCCAACCTTTAAGTTTTAACAGCCGAGCACTTAAGTATTGTGCCACCAGGGGTCTTAAAATGGTGTTTACTCTTGCTTACTTTCAGGCTTCAATACAGACGTCTCCAGAGAAAGAAAGGGTTATTTCATATGCAATGTGCAATAGGGCTTACTAGTTTTTGTAAAGAATTTTTCAGAATTTTAAATAGCAATTTGGTAGACAAATGGTATTAAATCCTATCATCAAAATGGCAGGATTCTAGTTCCAATTTAAGAAAACATACTTTGGAGATCATATCCTGAATTTTCCACTTATTGGTCCGCTGATCTTAAAAAAAAAAATACCTAAAATGAAATAAAAAGAATAACACCACCAGTGGAGGGAGGGTAGGTTGGAAAGGTGGAACCGATTACAAGGATCTACATGTACCCTCTTCCCTGGGGGATGGACAACAGAAAAGTGGGTGAAGGGATACATCGGACAGGGCAAGATATGACCAAATAATAATTTATAAATTATCAATGGTTCATGAGGGAGCAGCAGCGGGGAGGGAGGAAAAAAAATCAGGACCTGATGCCACGGGCTTAAGTGGAGAGCAAATGTTTTGAGAACGATGAGGGCAATGAATGTACAAATGTGCTTTACACAATTGATGTATGTATGGATTGTGATAAGAGATGTATGTGCCCCTAATAAAATGATGTAAAAAAAAAAAAAGCTAGAACAACAACAAAAGAATAGCACAACAATAACAAAAAAAAAGACCACCACCAAATCCAACTAAAACTCACTGCCATTGAGTCAGTTCTGACTCACAGCTGCCCTATAGGACAGGGTAGAATGGGGCCAGTTGAGGTTGCATGACTGTAAGTCTTTTTTCTTTTAATCATTTTATTAGGGGTTCATACAACTCTTATCACAATCCATACACACATCAATTGTGTAAAGCGCATTAGTACATTCATTGCCCTCATCATTCTCAAAACATTTTCTCTCCACTTAAACGCCGGCATTAGGTCCTCATTTTTCCCCTCCCTCCCCGCTCACTTCTCCCTCATGAGCCCTTGATAGTTTATAAATTGTTATTTTGTCATATCTTGCCCTGTCCGACGTCTTCCTTCACCCACTTTTCTGCTGTCCGTCCCCCAGGGAGGAGGTCACATGTAGATCCTTGTAATCGGTTCCCTTCTAAGTCTTTACAGGTGTGAAAGCCTAGTCTTTCTCCAGCAGAGCAAGGTTGGTAGTTTCAAACTGCTGGCTTTGTGGCAAGCAGCCCAATGTGTAACCATTACAACACTAAGGTCTCTAATAATAACATACTAGAAGAAATGGACAAATATCTAGAAATATAACAGCCTCCCAAATTAACTCACTGATGTAGAAAACCCCAACAGACTCATAATTAAAGAAGAAATAGAGACAGTCATAAAGAAACTTCCAACCAAGAAAGCCCGGGACCAGATGGCTACAAAGGGGAATTCTACAAAGCACTCAGAGAAGTGTCACCAGTTCTACAGTCTCCTCCAGATTCCAGAAAGGGGCATTCTATGAAGCAAGCATAACGCTGATACCAAAACCAAGCAAAGATACCAAAAGAACAGAAAATGTAGTGACTCAAAGAACATGAACAGTGACTCAAACATTCTCAACAAAATTCTGGCCAATAGATTCCAACATGTCAAAAAAAAAAATCAAGTGAGATTCATACTAGATACCCAAGGATGGTTCAACAATACACCACATAAATAAGACAAAGAATAAGATCTGCATGATCCTATCAATAGACACACAAAAGGCATCTCCAACAGAAAAGGCAGTCTCCAATACCACTTCTCATAAAAACACTCAACAAAATGTGAGTAGAGGGAGATTCTTCAACACGATATAAAGGGCACATACAAAATAAATAAATAAAACAGTGATGGACATGGCAGTCAATGGGGAAAAGCTGAAAGTTCCCCTGTGAACAGGCACTAGACAAGGATGCCCCTTATCACCTTATGCAGCATCATGCTGGAAATTTTACCCAGAACTTTTAGACAACAAAAAATTCCAAGGGAATACAAGTAGGCAAAGAAGTAAAACTCTCATTATTTGTAGATTATATGATTTTATATGTAAGAAAACCGCAAAGATTCCACAAAATGATTGTTGGAAACAGCTGAGGAATTTGGTAAAGTAGAAAGATACAAGATTAACAAGCAGAAATCAAGTGGGTTCCTGTATACTAACAAAGAGAGCTCTGAAAAAAGACACCAAGAAAACAATACCATTTACAGTAGCCACACAGAAGATGGAATATTTAGGAATACATCTAACCAGAGAAACAAAAGACCTGTGCAAAGAAAACGACAGATGACTATTATAAGAACCCAAGACCTACACAATCCCATGTTCATGGGCAGGAAGACCTCCTTTGTAAGAACGTCATTACTACCCAAAGCAATCTAGGAATACAACACAATTCTGACCCAAATGGCAACTTCATTTTTTAAAGAAATGGAAAAAGTAATTACCAACTTCTTATGGAGAAAGAAGAGGCCTAGGTTAAGTAAAACACTCCTTAAGAGGAGGAATAAAGTAGAATGCCTCCCACTAACAGCCTGGTACTGGTACAATGATAACTACCAGATACACTCAAGTATAAGCCAACCGAAATATCAGCTGAGGCACCTAATTTTACCACAAAACTGCAGAAAAACATGCTGGAAAACTCGGCTTATACACGAGTATATACAGTACACAGACCGATGGAACAGAATAGAAAACCAGAAATATATAAATCCATCTACAGGCAAAGAGCCCAAAACAAAACAAAGAGCCCCAAAACAAAAACCACCCACACCCACACCCACACCCACACCCAATCATAAAACGAGAGGCAGTTTCTCAACAAACGGTACTGGCAAAATTGGATCTCCAGCTGCAGAAGAATGAAATAGGACCCATACCTCATACCATGTACAAAACACACTCAAGTTGGATCAGAGACCTAAATGTAAATCCCAGAGCTACAATATAAGGATCATCAATGAGAAATGGAGACAAATTTAAGTAAGGGTATAGGCATGCCAAATATAACAAAAGAAACATTCAAAGTAGAAAACAAAATGGCTGACTGGGACCTACTACAATTAAGACACTTATGTGCATCAAAAGTGTAAAAAGGGAGCCCACGGACTAGGAAAAAAACCTTTTGCAATGACACAACCGACAAGAACCAATCCATAGAATTCTGCAGTACCTCAATAGGAGAAAAACAAATGATCCGATTAAAAAGTGGGAAAAGAAATGACATTCAAATGACAAACACATGAAAAACGCTCACTATCACTAGCCATACAGGAGATATAAATCAAAACACTATCACAATGACAGCCCAATTAAGAAAAAATAGAAAACAAATAATAGCGAGGGTGCAGAGAAATAGAAACCTGCATAAATTGTAAACATGGACCACCACTGTAGAAAGCACTACCACCCATTCACTGCCATCAAGCTGATTCTCTTAGTGACCCTGTAGGACAAGGTAGAACTGCCCCTTTGGGTTTCTGAGGCTTTAACTCTTTACAGGAGTAGAAAGCCTCACCTTACTCCCTCGGAGTGGTGATTTTGAACTGCTGACCTTATGGTTAGCAGCGCAATGTGAAACCACTGTGCCACCACCAGGGTTTCTAGAAATGAATGGGAATCATAATCACATACACGCAATACCTCTGCCGTATACACGCTCCAAATAAGCAGCGCAATATGAACAGATGTACGCTCTCTCATGTTCATCACAGCACAATCCACAATAGCAAAAGGGTAGAAACAGCCTAAATGCTCGTCATTAGCAGAATGGATTAACACACTGGAATACTATGCACTCCTAAAAAGTGATGAAGCCCCAAGCACCTCCTGACAGATGGACTTGAAAACCACACTGCTGAGGGAAAATGCTGAAAACCTTACTGCTGAATCACAAAAGGACAAGTATTATACGAGAGCACTCTTTTAGGATAAACATTAAGAAAAAGGCAGGCATCTGTTCTCGGGTCATAGAATCTTAGAATCTGCTTTCCCAAGCAATGAAGTGGTGCACAGCCTAACGTTCATCATCCATACATATGCCACCCCCTTATCTGTACATCTTAAAAACTGTATCAGAGGAGGCCTCATCTCAGCTGGGGGCAGTGCCTCATGTTGAGGGGAGCCAGGAAAGATCAATCAGTTCTTCCCATATAGCAATGCTCCACTGCCACCTCAACTCCATACCTATTCCTTTAAGGGGACTGACTCAGTGTGCCTTAATGGAAATTCACGTCTGGGGTGAGGTGGAGAAAGGGAGGAGGAATGTGTCTCAGAGAAGGTGATTTTGCTTCTGTTGGGTCAACCAAGAGGGGCAACCTGCCATTGAGAAAGCATTACTTACGAGAGGGTACCCACCCCCCCAAACCGGTTTTTATCTTCAAAGCTATGTATTTACATTTTTTTACAAAAACAACCTTATGACCTTCAAAGTACTCTCCATTACATTTAATACATTTGTCAAATCTGCGATTCCATTCATGGAAAGATTTTTTTCAAGTTCATCTGTTTGGATGGCTGACAGCACCTTCCCCTGTTTTCTTCTTCACCTCTTCTAAGTAGTCAATTTGCTGTCCTTTTATGTCCCTCTTCATTCACGGAAAGAAAAAGAAGTTACACGGAGTGAGGTCAGGTGAATCAAGTGTGTGTGTGTGTGTGTGTGTGGGGGTGGCGGGAAGAGAAGCATGCTGGAATTTGGGGGAGGGGGCGCCAAAAACTGGAGCACTGAGATAGCTGCATGAAAAAGTACACTGCCATGGTGGCAAAACCACTCTCGTCTGCCACAAATCAGGCTTTTTGGTCACACATTCCTGCGCAATCTTTTCAGAAGCTCTAAATAGAAAATTTGATTAACAGCCTGACCTGGTGGAACAAACTCCAAATGCACTATTCCCCACACATCAAAAAAACAAATGAGCATCCGGGGTTTTTTGGGGGGAGTACCCCCTCGGATCTAGATCCCCAGTGGGAGAATATGCTTGTACTCCGTGTTCCTAACCAGGCACTTAGTTTGACTGAGTTTCTAATCAGTTCATGCTGTTGCAGGCTACATGCTATAGACAACGGGGACTTTAGACTTTGTCTTTTAAACATCTTTCACAAACCACAGCAGAAGCATCCGATTTCAAAACCCCACGAAGCAAACCTGATTTTACCTTAAACACACCTGTAGCAGATTAAAGGAACTGAAATACTTCTTGGACTGAAATGCCCTATCTCAAGATTATGGATTTAGACGTCATGGGATTTTGTCTCAAAGCTCTTGCTTTGAGGGTACTATTTTCATACTCTTCCTTGCTTTTTATGATGTTTTAGTCTCGCAGGCATAGTTCTGCCTTAGTGAATGAGCATTATTGAAAGTTTTGCCCTATATCCTACCCTCAGGGTTTGCAATAATAGTGCCCAGTTACCAGGACATATATCAACCATAGATATATGAATGGCTTTTGAGTTAGCACTTAATTGTAGCCCGAATCCAAGAACAATTAGTTTTTTATACATGGCCCTAATGCATGCTCGCCCTCATGAAGAGATCACTGAAGATATGGATGCCGTATCAAGAGGTAGTGAAGATATAGGATCATGCCCAGCCATCTGAAGGAATAATGTCTGGGGTCTAAAATATTTGTCTTAAAACAAGCAGCTCTCTGAGTGGTGTGTCAGCTAATTCCACACGGAAGAAGCACACTAGCCTGTGTGATCCAAGGATTGTAAGCACTAAAATCTAAGACTGGAGGAGGGAATTTTATTAGAGCTAAAATTCTGAGCATCTGGTTTGCAGAAGGCTAGGGTTGACAGTGAAACCCCAAAATCCACTCACATAGTTGCCATGTGAATTAAATCTCTGGTGAATCCCTTTGAACTATCCTTGACTAGGGATGTGAATAGTCCTGCTATCAGACAGTACATTGGAAAGTGGATGAATGCAGATATAGCTAGGTTAAAATTTAACCTTATCACCTGTTCTTTCTTTTGACCTATTTTAAATTTGCTCTAGTTTTTATTATTTTATGCTCTCTTTTGGTTTGAGGTGTTTTGTTATTGTTGATGAGTGGTAGTGGTGGTGTGATATTCTTTATATGAAATCTAGGACAGGTAAATCTAGAGACACAGAAACTGGTTAAATAGGTTCTTAGGGTTAATGGCAAAAAAGAGGTTGGGAGGAAACAGGGAGATCATAATGATGGTTCAAGGGAGAAAAAGTTTTAAAACTGATTGTGGTGATGATTGTATAACTGTTTAAGATATTTAAAGCACTGAATCACATGGCATGGAAATGATGTCAATAAAAATATATATTTTTTAAGTTGCTTCAGTTTCCTTCATACATTGCAAATAATTCCAATGTACCATGTTCACAGAGTATTTATGAAGATCAGAGGAAACAAGATGTAACTATTGTAGCTAGTAATGCACTAAATAAGCACAAGTTAAGCGGTATTACTAAATGATCAAACACGATTAAATGATTTCTCATACTTTAAAAAGTATCTGTGTGATATGTGCTTACTTGTTCTTAGCCCAACCTAATATCACTAAATGAATTTTGAACTGGAATTATTAAAATAAAATCCTAGGTGCTTATTCTTTTACCAGGAGGTTACGCTCTGCCCTATCCCACTCCACCCCATGCCACCTTTCTTACCTGGCAGTTATTCAGCTCTTGAATAACTTCTTTGTTTTCTTTACTGATGTCACACACACAGATGAATTCTGCTTCCCGGTGGCCTTTGAAAAACTTCTCACGGATTCTTTGTACAACAGCAGTAGCTGAACGGCCAGAGGGAACTGAACAGTTTTCAATATCCCAAAAAACTCCAATGGGGGGTAAGTTTTCCAGCATTTGTCCAGCTATTGTAACTTCTGATGACCCTACAAAACGCCAATATTTTCTATTACACATAGTATAAAAGAAATGGCAGATGAAAAGAAACCAATGCATAATTAAACTGTCATTCTTTGTGGCAAAAAAACTCGAATACTGATTGATATCAGGTTTAAGGATGCCAAGGTAATAAAGCAAAAACCCTGCACTTGGCATTGAATCAATCTAAGAGATTATTCCTATTTTATGAGAGGGCCAACTTAAAGGCTAAGTATGGAAAGCCCACAGTAAATCCATCCGTAGGCTGGCCAGTCCTGTGTTTCTCAGCACCAGCACTTAACTGAGCGGATGTCGTGGCTCCAGGGCCTGATGGTCAGGCGTGTCACCCTGACCAGTTCAGAATAATATTGACAGGAGAATGAAAGATGAAGTTATTATTGCTCTTGATTTTAAATTACCTATTTTTCTATTGTTATTTTAAAAATATCTTGCAAATACTTTTAAATCTATTTTTAATTTTTTCCTATTTTTAATTAAAAAACAAAACATCTTTTTATTGTATATTAAACCAGGGGAAAAATGAGACCAAATCAAGTGCCACTGAGCCAACCCTGCCTTGCCGTGGCTCCAGAGGAAAGAGCGGGGCTGCCCCAGGGCTTCTAGGGTTAAATCTGAGCCTCAGTCTTCAGCAGTGCGTCAGCTGTTGGGTTCATATTGCTGACACCTTGTAGTCAGCAGCCCAAAGATTTGGACACTGAATTAAATGTGTGGTTTATTTTTCACCAAAGAGAAAATAATCACATTGATTACCTGTTGGGGAAATAATCTTAACTGAGACCTGAGCCATGAGACCTTTCAGCCATGATTGAAAAGTATATAGTCAATGTGTATAACTATGAATCTAAGATGATACCAAGTCTTCTCCAGCATGTATTTCTCCTACCATGCTCCCTTTTTTAAAAAATCATTTTATTAGGGGCTCATACAACTCTTATCACAATCCATACACACATCAATTGTGTAAAGCGCATTTGTACATTCATTGCCCGCTCCCTCTTTTTCTATCAACAGCTAGATTCTCTGACTTCAAGCAGCCTTGACCTTTAATACCCAAGCAGCTTACTGGTTTATTTATAATAATCAATGCATCTTTATCAAGAGATGGAAATGGACACTTGCCCATTTCCATATACAGTAATTTCAGAACCACGGGGGGGTGGGGGGGGGGAAGGAAAAAAACAAAAGAATCACCAGGAATCTCTGGTGCAGTGCTAAGTGCTAGTATCAGATACTGAAAACATCTTAAACATGCAGACTAGCACTTACCAAATTTCGAAACCGCTTTGCCTAGACCAGTGGCCAATAGCAATGTGGCCTCCTTTCGTGCTCCTTTGGTTCCACAGCCATTACACAGAGGGACAGTGACAGGCACGGACTGTGCACTTGGAGGTGGTATATTTGGCCAGACTTTAGCAGCATCAAGTATACTGGTTCTTTTCGGCTGGTCAAAAAAATTTTTTTTAAAGGAGAGGTTTCAGATTTATCACTTCAGATCTGAAATTTATACACAACTGAGTCTATATTCTAAGTGATTTACCCTTCTATCTGCTAACTCGATGTGATGGATTTTCTCAAATCATCTTTCCCAGAAGTATTAGCTATCAAATGAAATTTATACATTCATTTCAAAAGGCGATTTGAGATGACTTGCGGTGATCGCATGGTTGGAACTGCTATGTTCCGGAGCATGCGCCTGCAGTGGATGCCACGCACACACTATACTTTGCATAAAGGGAGGTCAAGTCTTCTCTGGAGCACCAGTGAGGCTGAGGCCAGGCTCCAGTCCTCAAGCTTTTACTATCAAAGGACCACATGCAGAAATTAATTTTCAGCGAGAGCAGGCCCATGTTCCAATTGGGTCCAAGTTTTAAGAAATTAGAATTGTGCTCTAGCCTTTAAAAACAAAACAGAACACCAAGACTTTGCCAAGCTCAGTTCATATGTAGGAAATGATTCATGGCAAGAAGAGGCTCAGAGGACAAACTACAAAAATAATTACTTCACAATTATTTCAATTGTCCTGATTTTACCCTGATTTCTTCAGAACCAGCAAAAGCTATGCTGATGGCAAGCCAGCTAAACTTGAGCTGCACCCAGCATCAAATGAGAGAAAAACAATACAAACCTTGTTTAAACAGTCTTCGCAGTAAAGGGAGCCCTTTAAACAAACCGGTGGTACCACATTTAGGTGCAAAGAGTTGGTGCACAAGTGAGGCGTTAGTTCCGACTGTGAAATGTGCTCTTCCAGAGGCCCCGGAGCCCCACTTGTGAAGTCAGAACAAGGGAAATAGCCAGTCGTGGAGGGGCAGCCCTGGATAGCTGGAAACGGATGCAGCTTCTGCACGCTACCATGACATGATTGGAAATGGAGTTTTCCACAACACGGCAGGTGTTTGCAGGAAGAGAGGTTACTTTCTAGATGCATGCTGGGGAAGTCACCGGCAAGGCCCGCCATGTTGTTCCTAGCACAGGCATTCTGAAGTGAAGACGCAGACTGGAAGGCAAATCTGGACCCTACCTGACATGTGATTGTCCTGGTGCTCTGCGAGTCTAACAGTGCGCCCGGGTGAATCAAGCCACCGTTACCTCTGCTACCACCACCACCACCACCACCAAAACGCATTGGCGATGTGGAGGACTCATTAGTGCAGTGAGCACAGCAGCTTACTTTGGGGACAGTTGAAAGCTGTATTTTGGGTTGCTGAAGAGAATGGATATCTGGAAGTGGGACTGCTGGGAACAGTTTAGAGCCAGCATGAAGGGGAGATGGTGCATCCTTTACTTCCACAGCAGCTTGCTTGTTCTCCATGTACTCTTTCTGAGAAAAGAAAGCCAAAACTCTAGTTAATTTTAGGAGGCCAGTTACTCTTGGTTACTCACATCATGTGGTATTATTAAAAAGCAGAAACAGTGTTCATTCTGTTGCAAGCCCTTCATCACAAGCAAACAAAATGGAGTAACAGCTAACTAAACGAAAGTTAGGGAGTCTTGGAGCTCCGCTGCTAACCCAAAGATTGACATTTCGAACCCACCAGGCCCTCTGTGAGGGAAGGATGTGGCAGTCTACTCCTACAATTATTAGAAGGGGTACGGAGGTACTGAAGAGAAAGCACTTCAAACAGCACCTGGCCACTGGAAAGGGTTCTCACTAATTAGGAACAACTATGGGCATTGCTGGGTAAGCGTTAAGACTGCTAACCACAAGGTTGGAGGGTCAAATCTCCCAGCTGCTCTGAGAAAGAAAAATGAGGCTGTCTGCTTTGGGAAGGACTTACAACCTAGAAAATCGTGTGAGACTGCTATGAGTCAAGGTCAATTCAATAGCAGTGGGCTGGGTTTGGTTTCCTCATGGCTTGACTGAGAAGCCCTGGTGGTAACTAGCTTTCGTAAAGTGTTAGAGCCTTAGAAACCCGATGGAGCAGTTCTTCTACTCCGTCTTATGGGTTTGCTATAAGTCAGAACTGACTCAATTACAGTGAGCTTAGTTTTTCCAGACGGGTTGACCAAAGGAATTCTTAAATAGAACAGGATATCCTAAAACAACTAAAATAAGGAAAAAGGTTACTCTGATATATTATCATGCTTCAAAGCAGAGAAGGGACCATGTGACTGCTAAATTTCACTTCTTTTCCTGCGATTCTATGCTTGTTATCTGGGGTCTATCAGGATTTTCAGTATGCTGCCCATAAAAGAGAGGTGGGGAAAAAAGAGAGAGAGAGGTGGACAATAGTAATGAGCTGACCAGCCAAAGGACCTGTGTATTCTAGTCTCATGGTAATTAGTTTTGACTGAAAATTAATACACTGGAACGCTGACTTACAAAGCTCAGGTTATTATTTGCAGGGTTACTGTTAGTCCTGATGAATCTACTTAATTCTGGGTGCCACTGACAAAACCTGAGTTTCTGGAACTTACCAGCAAGAGTGCAACTGTCTGACTGACTCCACATGGACCCGGTCTCCCACCCCTACGAAGTGCTGTTGGAGCTGCCAACCCTGTCCACTGCCCCCAAGCTGAAACACTTCTGAAATGACCAAATTGCTTGAACTCATGCAACAAAGACAGCAGAAACTTACAGAAGACAGAGAATTGAACTAATTTTATAGCAGTTGTATCCTGACAGAAAAATGGTATTCCTATAGTAAAGTCTCATTTGAATCCTACTAGAATTAAAAAAAATAAAAAAAGAATTGCCAAGTTGATTCGAACCCACACTAACTTTCTAGGATAGAGGAGAACTGTTGCTTAGGATCTCTGAAACAGTAAATCTTTACGGAAGAAGACTGCCCCATTGTTCTCTCACAGAGTGGCTGTGGGTTCGAACCACTGACCCTGCAGTTAGCAGACGCCACCACGGCTCCCTTTAAAATCCAAGTACAGCAGAAAAAAGGACATGGAAACATGGCAACCATGAGTGCAGGAAATCAAATGAGAAAACGTCAACATCGCTATGAAAAGCAATAGCAGCCAGAAGTCACGGATCTATTTGAGTCAAGAGAAAGCTGCAACAGAAAAAGACTGACAATAAGGTCTATTAATCTGTTCTAGATGACCATGCTGGAAGCTCAAGTGGCTACAATAAAGTACAATCAATGCATGTTCTACTTTCCTCTGAGTTGGCTACCAATGTAGATTTGACCTTTGTAATCTGTGACTACAATGAGAAACAAATCTTCCCAAGATTTTACTATGAAATATTTAAAGCATCGGTTACTCAGAATATATATACAGGAGTTAAAAATGCATGCTATCATCAAGTCCGGAGTGTAGAGTAATGTTCTGTAAAAGTCAATACAAGGCAGATACATAGAGAAACTTGGCATGGACTCCAGGGGGAGTCTGTGTCTCAGACCAAATGGACCTCAGGTATTTGTTATGTCCAAAGTCTTACATATAGTTACCGTTTGGGGACTAAGTGGCAATGTCTGTTCAGGACCAGAAAAGCAATTAGAGAGTTTCCAAAGCCATGGTTTAGCATCATTATCTTGTTGAAGCCATCTCAGTGTTCCACTGCAGGGGTTCTCAGTTTCGTTTCCTTCCATCATACAGCCATATAAAGCAGTTCAACATTCTTTCACCTTTCTTTTCTTTCATTCTTCCCCCCTGTTGGTAATGAGTAAGGTTTCAAAGTGAAATTACAATGTATTACAGGGTGAATTGCAGCTACAGGAGGGTTAAATGAAAAACCCAGTACTGCGACTACAGTTCTAGTTCAGGCATGCATGTGTTTATTCCAAACAAAGCATATGCAAACATGCTTCTGTGATCGATAGATTGCTTAAGTTCTCTCAGTGATACACTTACCTTAGTCTCACTAACATGTCTTCAAACACCCCCCCCCCAACAAACATAGTAACATGGGTAAAAGGAGAAGCCAATGTATAATAAAAACCAGAAACCAAACTCACTGCCATCAAGTCAGTTCGGACTCAGAGACCCCATAGGATAGGGCAGAACTGTCTCTGAGGGTTTCCCAGATGGTAACTCTTTCGGAGAGGGTAACTTTTTACAGAAAACTCTTGTCTTTCTCCTGCGGAACAGCTGGTGGTTTTGAACTGCTAGCCTCACAGTTAGCAGCCCAACTCGTAACCACCACAGCTCCATAGATGAGGAGGCTTAAATGATGGGGGCAGAGGAAGACACTGGGAGGACTGCAAGGGTTGAAGACAGCAGGAAATACCATTATAGACACAACCCTAACAGTGATCCGCAAGTAGATGGCTACAGAGAAGTCAACTCACAAGGTCATGGGAATAATTTTTCGATAGACTTTCTCAAGGAACTCATGCTCACAGGGGCTTTATTAGGAAGAAGTTTTAAGAAAATGAGAAACTGCACTGGTGAGAAAAAGGGCAGGAAAGTGGCTCCAAGGGATTCGTCCCCACGACACAGTGGACCTGCTCCTTCTTCAAGGGTGGCTGAGGTTGTCTGTAAGAATTTCCCTGGGAAACCTTACTACCCACCCTCCAGCCCTGATCGTGCAGTACCATCGGACTTCTTTTTGTTTCCCAAAGTCAAAGAACCTTCCAAAGCAACACGCAATTTTGACGTGGTGTAAATCTGACTCGAATTTTTCAGGGAAGGGTTAGAGCAACGGAAATACGGCATTCAGGACTGTGTGCACCTAGATGGAAGATATGCTGAGCTTCCCAATTTGACAGGTTTAATGCTTTCTATTATTTGTAGTAATACTTTTGACCTACCCACATTATTATTGATGATAAAATAACCAAAACACAAACCCACTGCCATCATGCTGATTCAGACTCCCGGTGACCCTATGAGGCGGAGCGGAACTGTTCCTGGGGGTCTCCAAGACTCTAGTCTTTGCAGGAGCAGGCAGCCTCCTCTTTTTCCTGTGGAGCTGCAGGGAAGGTTTGAAGAGCCGACCTTGCACTACAGCTCGACACCTTACCCCACTGTGACACCAGGGCTTCTTTATGTTGTAATGGTTCCTAACAATTCAACTCTTAATGAACAGAAGTACAATGCGTATCTAAACATAGTTCAAAGTACAAATATTTGGTAAACTTAGTTTTAACTGTTCATGCTCTAACACTAATTGTAGTCAAAAAAATACATGAGCCCCTCGGAGACCAGGGGAACAGAACAGGGGGGACCCTGGCCCTCCCCACTTCCTCCTTGCTAGCCCCTTTGCCATGGCCTGGATCTTGGGGAGTGGTGGGACAGTCTGAAGGAGGGGAAGCAGAAGTGTGTGTCTGGGTCTGGTTACTGTCATCCCCGGGGAGACTGTTCTAGGGTGGCCACAGGATAGGCAGGGGCCACACCATCTCTGGACCCCAGTAAAGGTGACCCCTACAGTCTCGCCTGCGGTGGCGCCGTGTGATGTTCAGTTATCTCCCCATCCCAAAGGCCGCCTGATGGGAGCAGGTGGGGGCCCTTGCTCTGCCCTCCCGCAGGGAGGGGAGCCATGCTAAGACGCCAACCTCAGAGACTTGGGTTGGGTTCTTTTGATCCTGAGAGCTGTTCTAAGAGCAGAGGGCAGCATGGGGCGTTGTCAATAAACCACTTCTGAGTCTCAAAAAAAAAAATCTCTCTATATATGTACCTTCTATAATGCATGCTTTACTGGTATTTTTTTTTTCTGCACTACTTTTCAAATAAAAATAAGTTTATTTTCTATACACAGCTATGCATGAGGGAAGTAGTCAATCTTGGCTATTTGTAAATCCCTGAGGGATAGCCTTTGTTGAGGTCAACCTTGTCAGGCCTTGAGTAAACCTTTTCTATGATTTTTTCTTAATTATTTTCAGTTATTTCTCCCAGAGTCAAAGAGTTAACAGAACAGAGTCCTTATTTTAGCAAAGAACCACTACTAGAGCTTCCTTACCAATTCCTTGTAGAAACCAATTTTAAAGCAATGTATCCCACTGTGCCTTCAGTGTCCAAAATAAAGCTTCATGGGGATGCAATCACACTCACACTAGTTGTTTATGGATTACTTCTGCATGACAACTGCAACAGTCTCGAACATTTCATTCTGGCCCTTGACAGAAATCACTTGTCAAAGTTACAAAACTTCATTAGGCTTCTACTTTCTCCTATGTAAAAAGCGCTAATTTCTCTAAATCACATTACTGAGGGAAAAAAGAATTATAACAAAAACAGACACCTTTGTCTGTTTTTTTCCCTCTGGTAGCAATGGGGATTAGAGGTTGGGTTGCTAACCAAAGGTCGTTGGCTCAAACCCATCAGCTCTCTAGAAGGAGAAAGATGAGTGTCTGCTCCCGAAAAGCCCTACAGACAGGAAACTCAAAGAGCCAATGAGTCAGGATTAACTAAATGGTACAAACTAGGGTTGGTTGGTTGGTTTTATAAGGGGGTGCGGCAGATACTGAGGGGATGTTTACCAGTTGGAGACCAAAACTGAAATGAACAGTGCCACACTGATGGTAAATGATATACTGATTTTTCCTATTAAGTCGAGGTATTATGTTTCCCGTCTAAAATAAAGGTTTTTGTGTTCACGACAAATGCAGTTTCAATATGCTCTCATAAAATCAGCTCATCTCCTTTATCAGGGAAGAATCCTGAAAGTAAATATTTTATAGTGTAATACAGTTTACACAGCATTTCCATTTTACATTATGCATTCCCTCTTTCTGCAAATATTTCCTTAGTACCTACTATAACAGGCCCTGGAGCCTTGGTGGCATAGTGAGTTACATATGGGATTGCTAGCCACAAGGTCAGCAGTTTGAAATCAGCTGCTCTGGAGGAAGACGAGGCTTTCTACTACCATAAAGATTTACAGTCTTAAAAACCCACAGGGACAATGTGATTCTGTGCTATAGCACCACTAGGAATCAGAACCGACTCAATGGTAGCGAGCTTGAGTTTTTGGTGCTTGTTATATAATTATTGGCAGGGACACACTGGGGGCCATCTGTTTCATTTCCTTCTCTTGAAATGCTGTGAGGTAGACGGGAGGAATTTACCACATTTTACAGAGAAGGAAATGGGTGAATGTAAGGAAGCTTTACTTCTTTCCACCATACCAAAGTGGTTGCATAGGGGGCTTCCAAAAGTTCATGGGAAAAAATCCTATCATCTTTTGACTCAATTTTCCCGACACTTTTTGAAGGCTGCTGGTTTACTGCTCAAGACAAGCAAGAGAGAACACCAATTAACCAGCGATGTGTTAGTGGCCTGCATCCTGAGATTCCGCCTTGGGAAAGAGCCAAGGCAAGTTTGATTTGAGTGCAAGTATAGGGTCTCTATGAGTCAGAATTGACTGGAGGGCAGTGAAGTTTCTGGTTTTGTTTCAAGTGATCCTCTGTCACTATCTCCGGTGTCTTGGAGCAATTCAAACAGGGGTTGAGAGCACTGGCTTTGACATCAGGCCTTCTGCTTCTGATTTCACCACTTCCTGTATGTGTAGTTTTGGGCAACTCAAAACCTCTCAGAACCTCAAGCGTCATCTGTAAAATGAGTCTAAAAATAATAGTAGCCCTTCCTCTCCGTGCTCCATAAGGCTATTTCAAGGACACAGTCCGTGTAGAGTGTTTACTACGGTATATAGTCTTCCCTTAGTACATAACCAATCCAGTTCTTTAATCCCAGCTCCATCCCATGACCATTTGTTTTGTTTCTAACTCGTCTAATAAACAGCACTTTGTTTACTCGCTTGATCATCATTTAAGAAATTACTTTCAACTGTCTCTTCGACTAGAATAAACTGTGACAGCAGGCACTATTTCTTCCTCTTCACCAACGTATCTCCTGCCACTAGGACAGTGCTAGGCACATAGTAACATGTAATTGAACGAATCAAGTGCTGGATACCTGCCTTGAGGTACCATTTACGTCTCAATTTCCATGTATGCAAAAGAGGCGAATATTGACCACTCAGAGATGTTGGGAGGACCCTGGGAAGCTCTTAATACCAGAAAGGTGCTTTGGGAACTCTCAAAGGTGTCTATCTCAACGGTCAGTTAAGTTAGCGGGAGTGGCTGTAGCTCTAATCAAGCTACGGGCTGTAGGGGTTGTTGAAGACCATGGAGAACGGCAGAATGCGCAAGTTCAGCAAACAACAACAAACTCCTTCCTTCCTCTTTTAAACCTGCCCACTGCGCACATCCCTCTTGGGAGTGCTCCTCCTCACACCTGGAGGGCCTCTGCGGAAGCAGGGACACAGGTGCGGGGGTGGGGGGTGCGGGGGGGAAGCAAATGTCCCCAAAAGAGGGCGGCGGTGCAGCACGACCGTCCGGGGCACACCTGAGAGAGAGACACCCAAGGCTCTTGTTGGTGCCCGACTTGGCAAGTCCCACTCTTTTCGGAGGGACTACCCCTCCTCCTCCGCGACCGCAATAGGCGCGCGGGGTGGGGGGGGCACGGGCTCCCCTCAGCTCCGGTGGTCACGAGCAACGGGAATGTCTAGTTCCCAGTGCTGACAGCACACTCACCTCATCCGCCAGCTCCACC